TATTTGTTATCCTACGGACTTGTGGTTTTGTCATGCTGTCGAGCTAAATAACAAAGTTTACTCAAAAAGATAAAAATGTATCGATCAAATTCTGACGTCTCGTGGTCTTACTCAACTGTTGAAGAGAGTATGGAGTAGTGCATCATCAGACTCCTCTTAAAGTTACTTCTGAATAATATCTAATAATAGGGAGTCCAAGCGGGGATTTCGGGATTTACTAAAGCGCGGCAGATTAATATACAGGGGGATACCTTGTACCCGGTTAAGTACCTCCACCAAATATGAGCCGCCTGTGAGGGATAGAGGAACAGATTAGTAAAAAAAAATTTATCAGCAGAAATTCTCGAGCGCGTCAGATTAAAGTAGGGTGAGTTAATTACAGGAATATGCAGCAAAAAAGGCACCCGCGGAGACCTACCTTTTACAAAAAAAAAACGTTTTTTAATTAGATAATTGTAACAGTTGTATTCACACTGAGTTGACGACAACAAAAAAAATGACAGTCAAATTGGATCATCAGATCTGATTGGATATTAAAAAGCAATACACTTGGCAACTCCGCTCTAGATACGATCAATTTTATTGATCAACAGACAAGCGGCCAATTTAAATTATTGCTTTTTGAATTGATCTTTTTCCTGCAAATATAAAGAGATCTTGGGACCGATTAGACTAGATAAGTATACTATACCCCTAACTCGATCAGTCTACAAGCAAACCATCATCATTTTCCATAACATGAAACAAGACCATTCTCTTCACTCTCTCAATATTTCCATCGGTGGTTGATGTGCTGGGGCGTTCATGGCGAACGTCGTCATTCACATCTTCTCGATCTTATATAAAAAGCTCGTAACTTGTAAACATTTTTCTGACTCAGAGTACAATCACCGTATGCCACTGTCAACGTTGCAAATATTTTTGGTATTCCATTTCTCACACAAAATTTGATGCGAATTTTTTGATCCATTTTTTTCGTTAGCAAAAATTACTTTAAAAAACGGTGATCGAATGTACGTAGCCCGCAAACTTTGACCATTCACCTCATATGTACACGTAATAAATTTTCTTTTTTTGGATCCAAAAATGGGAAAACACAAACAATAATTGATGTTTTTTGTACATTTACTTTTACTTATGATGCACTGTTTGGAACCTTTGGTGTAGTAATGAATATTACTGGAGTTTTTCTTTTCTTTTCTTTTAATCTTCCTCTTTGAAGATGATCACTTGGTGATCGAAACACGTGTCGAGGTGTTAAAAATAACGATTTGGTGTTGGGGAAGAAACTCCAGTAATATACATTCACTTTTGATAAATTTGCAACAGGCTTGATTAAAATCCCTAATGAAAACCATTCCTTCGCAATCATCTCCACAATAGTCTGATAAAAATCAACCGAATATAAGGAAATCAAACCTCATTCTGACTAAAGTTGACTAAATTATAGATATTTGTCTGTGGAATTATATGACATCATCATCATTTACGAGTGGGGTGATATTCAAGAATTCGTGTCTCGGTGATATTTCCATATTGATTATAGAATTGGGTGGTTGCTATAACAAACGGAAATAATTATATGGATAATTGATTTTCACCGAAACATCATTGTTTAGAGGTTTTGCAATATTTGGAATACTATCAATTTATATTTGAAAGTGAAATATATTCGTAATCTGTTTTGGAGATATACATTACCTAATAAAGTGTGTCTCACTTTTGATGAAACCACCGAACATACTTGTAACATTGGAGTATATACAAAATTCCACAAAATTGACTAAAGTAAAAGTTGAATATTACTGGAGCTTCTTCCCAACACCAAACCGTCATTTCAACACGTGTTTCGATCACCAAGTGATCATCTTCAAGAGGATGATTTCAACACCTCGACACGTGTTTCGATCACCAAGTGATCATCTTCAGAAAGATGATCATTTGGTGATTGAAACACGTGTCGAAGTGTTGAAATAACGGTTTGGTGTTGGAAAAAACTCCAGTAATATTCATTACTACACCAAAGGTTCCAAACAGTGCATCACAAAAATGTAAAAGTTATTATTCGCGTGCTGTGTTTGAATTTCATTTCGAAAATAGTTTACCAGTTTCAAGCAATGAACAATAGATATATATCAAAAAGCACATATGACAGTAATTCTGGACAGTAATTTTGAAGCAGACATCATAGAAAACATTCAGTTAGGAAATAAATTTTAGTTGAAAAAGTACTTCCCGAAGTGTTTTTTCTGTTTATAATTTCATATGAAAGCTTTTCAATAAGTTTCCGGTAATTTGAAATTTATCTAATGTTTGAAAAGCCACATTTTTTCAGAAATTTCTAAATAAAAAATGAAATTTACCAATTATCGGATTCATCGGGTATGATTATACAGTTTATTGGTGAAATATGTCACTAACAACGTTGTGTCAAATTTCACAATTCCTCGGGATAGTACTTCTAGCTAGACTATATGAGAAAGAAGAAAGACTATATCAACACGTGCCATTATGATTCTATTCTAACTCTATAGTTTTCAGAACTTGGGACTGATACCATTTTTTCTCGAAAAATAGATAAAAACTGGCTTCCTTGTTTCAGTAGTAATCACGATACTTCCCTGAAAAATGTTCGTTTCAATGTTTCTGTCTTCCATTTTGTGAGGATACTTTTTCGAATTTCGTGGTACATCAATAACAGTAAATGAAATTTCAGACGGATGGAAAATATAGGTAATGAATACAAAAATCATCAAGAAAGAGAATTATAATCAGTTTTTATCAAAATATAAATCGTTTGCATTCAAGTTATAATATTTTGTTTTCTATTTCTCTCTCCTGTTTTTTATTTATTGATTTTTTCAACTTCGCCTTTTTTGTAATATACAATTCAATCAATTATTGAACATTTCCCAATATATTTTCATTTAATTATTTTCATCAACATTTCCTTAAAACGTCAGTTATTATTTTTCATACCTATACATTGAATAGTATAAATTAGAACAGAGTTAATGAGTTGAGATATTCAATGGTGGATAATTATATTTTTCGTAATTTAAGATTAATATTTTTGTTTATTTCAGCCAACAGTTCTTCCCTACCAAAATTTCAAAGATGAAGAAGACGCACAAATCTTAAAAGATGCCATGGACGGCCTGGGAACAAATGAGGAAGCAATCATACAAATATTGAGCAAGAGAACAAATGAACAAAGGAGAATGATAGCAAATACCTACAAAACCATGTTTGGCGAGGTATTTTTACCAATATAATTAGTTTGCGTGCGTCATTGAATATCAATAAAGGGTGTGCATGTGGGTCAAAAATCGATTATTTCTTGAGTTGATTGCAAAATTTCACCAATCCATATCGAATGTTTATAAGTGACTCACTACCGTTTCACTTTCTTTCTAAATAGTACATCGAATCCAGAGAGAATGAACGACAATAAAAATATGTCCGTAAAAAAATAAAGATATGAGTTGAATGCTGTCTACCGTCAGTTAATCTATCAAAATAACTTCTGGTACTCACAATAAGATAAGAGGTTGGCTTCGAATACCTTGGTATAAGGTGTGATGATCAGGAGGAAGATCTGTTAAACTTTTACAGGAAATTTAAACCAATTTTACAGGAAGTTTATTCCACATAAACTCAGTTCTCGAAATGAAAGAGTTCGGGGTGTACTGAGTTGAACCTCAAAATGATGAGCAGCAACAGTCTGTCGCGTATTTCTGATATGTACCGCTCTTGGTGAAATCAAATGTGCCAAGTCACTTGAACACCTCCCGTGAAAGTGTCTATAAAAGGGAGACAAATCTTCAACCTTTTTTCGATGTTCCAAACTATCAAGGTTGCAAGTGATGTTCGCGTCTCCAATCGGGCAGATGGCTCTTTTCTGAATGGAATCCAGCAGCTTTAGGGTATATTTAGAGGCAAAACTCCATACATGAAAATAATACTCCAAAGAAGGTATGATCTGAACTTTAAAGAGCATTAAAAGTTTCTGAGGTATGTGAAGTGTTCTGATTCGGTACAGGGTTTCAAGCTTTTGAGAAGCAGCCTTTGTAATTTCAGCGATATGATTGTGTCAAGACATATTGGTGTCCATTTTAACCCCCCAACAAACTTATCGAAGCAGAAAGTGGATTTATATAAGTCTCTCAGTTCTTTGCTAGAGGAAGTGCTGATTCCGGAGTTGAAACAGCCTTCAGAACTGTCAGAAAAGATATTTTCCCCTCTTTTCACTATCTAGATACTGAAGACGATATGGATGAGTAACATACCTCACTAGAAGTCCCAGCTTGTTGAAAGAAGTTTCTGAATGTCTGGGTCTCAGTTGAAACAATAAAAATTCTTTGAAACAAAACTATCCTTAACTGACAAGACTGCTTCCCTTTTTTTCACGAAGGGCACATCCTGTGGTTTGGGAGAAGACTTGTTGGCTTTCTACTTTCACATAATAATACAAAAATAAATATAGAAAAAATATTTTTTTCCAAAAACTAATCTCTCCTAAAAATATCACTCCCTTCATTATATAACATCTCAGTCTCTCTCAAAATCATTCGACTCCTAGAAAAAAACTGATTTTTAATATTTTGTAACTCGAGGCGAAATAATATTCTTTTGCACAATGAAATCAATACCACTATTAATTGTTCAGAGAAAAGAGAATAATATGTCATATATTTTCTTGGGAAAGATGAATCAGTATGAATATCAATGATGTGTTAGTTCTATTGATTTTCTCTTGGAACATCAAATTGGTCACAACAAAAATCTTTGCTTTTTGCGAATCCAACTTAGCAAACCACTCGATTAGGAGAAAAAGAAAGTGAATATGGACTTTGGAAGTCATTAACGAACGTATGGTAAGACCAGAGAAGACTATTTTTTCTCCGCCACATATCAAGTTGGGCCATATAAAATCTATTTTAATTAGTTGAATGGAGAAAGAATTCAAGCAGGAGTATTTGACACCATAAAAATAATACATCAAAGATTCTGAAGCGGTTCCAAAAGCCTAGATTTCAGTTGTTAATGGTGTCAAAAATTTTCTGGAACCGAAATGTTCGATAGTTCCGGATTACTTATGCAAGAGCAAAAAATAATTATTTGCACAGCCACCTAGTTCATTAGAAGGAGACTCGTTAGTAAAAAACTATACAGAATCTCTTTTCAAATAAGACGTTATACACTTTCGAGAATGTAACGTAAAAATAACTTTTCAAGTATTCAATGATCAGTTGGTTCCATAAATGACTTGTTCTTTCCACTTTATATGTGAATGTAAATCGGGAACACCCTATATAATGGATTACTTTCGACAGACATTTGTTCAGTGCAGAGCAGATCCAACCAAGACAACATTGACTACAGTCGTTCATTTTATTTTTTTCATCATAATTCCGTAAGTTACCAGAAAATCATGAGATTTTCAGTTAGAGGTTAAATTTTAGTACCATATTACAAATCAGGACATCAAATTCATGCAATCAGCTACACATTCCTCCTTATCAAAACAACAGTTTACTGGTGTCAATTCAAATGGTTAACTTCACAAGATTTGACAAACATATCAAATGACGTGATAACTGAAGTTAATCATTAAAAACAAACATTTAGTTTTATTACTGATGAATAATTATAAAGTGTTTATTCTAGATGAGTAACAGTTAGTTCCTTATAAAAAAGATATTGATATCGTATAAAAGAAACAGAAAACGAATTCAAATATCATTCTTTTTTTCATTACAAAATGTAACTTCGTCTTCATCGAAAAACAAATTAATACCGGATATGTGCCTGTTTTTTAGGCCAACTTTTCAAGTTTTGGTGAGACAGAGCCAGTATTATTCTAGAATATCAAACGATATCTTTTCATACCAAAACTACCATCATCAATGGATTCTTATAATTTCGATATTTTTTATTCAATCGCAATGTTCCATTCGCATTTTCTACCTTGTTGATCTCTTGTGGATAAAATTTTAGCACAATTATATAGTCAAACTGTTGCTCTTCTCTTATATCGTTTGGTTTTGTATTGGTAATAAATATCTATCTTTTCGTGTTTTTCTTTTTGTAAGTCGTTCCGACGACATCATATATCTGTTATCAATTCACTTCATAATTGCAAATAATCCTGAAACATGAGTGATTATTTTTTAAATTTGTCCTTGAGTTGTTGGTTAGGTTCCTTTTGTTTTTATATGACTCCTTCAATTTCTACTATATTCATTGTATAATACAGAAATTTGTATTATTTTTTATCGACTATTTTTAGATATTTCAACCTTCCACAATCTGAAAAAAAGTTTTATTGGAGAACTTTCAGCTCGTCCCGATAAGTTACTGTGTAACTATTCTGTTCTATTTATCAGTAACTTGTTGTATTGAATAATTTCTATTATTAAAAAAGAGCTTACTTATTAACGTTTCGAAAGCGAAAATATGCCCCTCAGAATTGGAAAAAAAGTAACGTATCTAACTTGAAGTTTTTTCTTTGATTTGCTTTATTTTCAAACGTCCTTGATAAATGTTAAAGATCGATGAAAAACTAATTTCCTCCACCAAGAAATGACATTCATTCAATAAGTTCTCATTATTTTCTCTCATAAGATTTCATTAATGTAATTTCTTCTGTAATGTCTTAATGTTTTAACAATGAAATGCCCTTTGAGGTAATTGCTATATTTCCAAAGGCAGACAAATACAACACTCATGAATCCCCATAATGGAACTCTATTTTGAATCAGAAATCCAAAAAATAGCCTTGACACAATGATTCAACATATTTTTCATTAGGTTATATTACCACATACAGGCCCAACCTTGTTGACGTCTTACATATTGTAACCGATTTTTTAGAGAATACCTAAATTATTATCTTTTCGTATTCGATAACTGATCGGTATTACTTTTTGTATCTCGAAATTCGTTATCCATTTCTTTTTCAGGATTTAATAGATGATCTGAAAAGTGAGCTTGGTGGACACTTCGAAGATGTGATAATGGCTCTATTAGAAGAACCCGTAGAGTATCAAGTCAAAGAACTCCGCAATGCAATAAGTGGAATGGGGACAGATGACTGCACCATAGTTGAAATCCTTTCGGTCCATAACAACGAAGAAGTATTACAAATCGCTAACAGATATCAAGAGAGTAAGTGATTTTTCAAAAAATGTTTCAGGTTCAATAGTACAATCATTGAAATCGAATTTCAAATTCAAATTGTCTACATGTTATCGTAAGACACATCAATTATCGAATCATAAAATGAATCAATAATATACCCTATTCAGTGACAAAACGTGTCCTCTCGAAATTTGAGAAATGACGAAAACTTTCAGTAATGCACTGGATGCCTTGCTGTTTTTCCAATTAAACTTACAAAGGTATATTATTTAATATGGTTATTGATTGAAAATCAAATGTAGAGAGAGAATTTTCAAATGCATTGGCATTTATAAAGTGTTGTCATGTACCGGTCTCAACAATTTCAAGCATTCCTGACTGATTCTGTGGCCATTCTCCATAGTATGTTGAGCAACAATGGACTCACCTGGTCTATAAAATTGAATATGTGAAACGTGTTCCGTTTAGCGATGTATTATAGTCCGCCAAGTTTGACCAACATATCCTTTATCACAATTCTCGCATCTTATTTCGTGAACTTCTTGAATAATGTTTTGTAGGGAAGAAGTAAGATTGCCTATCTTCGTAAAGACTGTATATTTGAGAAAGCTAGAATAGTGATTGTGCCTGAATGGCAATACTTTTCAAAAATCAACATGACTTCAAATGAAACTTGCACAAATGTTCAATATGATAACTCGTTTTGGAAATTGCATCAACCGTTTCTCGAGAAAAGATTCTTCAAACGAATAAAAAAACTGCTACTCAGGAACGGCTGATCCAATTTCCAGAAATAAAATTGACATACCTATCAAATGAGGTATATCAAGACCTTCCTTTCCATTTGAAAAAGAGTTGGTAGTGTCCTCTCGGCTAAGAATACTATAAATGATCCTTTTCATGTAAATTTGTTCGACTTCCATGTCTTCTCCTGTGAGTGAGTAGGTCTATTCGACCCTCCACCGCAACCTGCAAGGGTTTATTATGGCTGACACCTATTCACACTCAACCAAATAAACCCAGCTTCTTAACGAAGCTTATTAGTTTGTATGGTGAGTGGTCTTTCAGGACAGATGGCTAGAGTACGGCTCTGCCGAACTCTAAAAACCTGATTCGGTCCCCAGTGGGGCAGTCACAAAGTATATGCTCTGTTGTTTCATCATTTTCCGAACAGAGGTATCACACACTGTCTTCCGACAGTCAGAGTCTCTGCATATAATGATTCAAATGACAGTGGCCTGTAAGAAGGCCTGTTAGACATCGTAGTTCATTCTTACTGTAGTTCAACAACTGTTTGGTATCAAGTTTCGGAGGATGAACAAACGCCTTAGGGTGAACCAATCCTGGGAGATTCTGCCGGAATTTCATAAATCTTCTTGCCATCCAGGTGTTCAATGTTCGTTTGGCAAAGCCTAAAGTGATGCCAATGACAGGTTCTGGCCCGATGAAGCTGCTTGCAGCAACCTCCTTTGCAAGGGACTCAGCAGTCTCATTGCCTTCCAGGCCAGTATGGCCAGAAATCCAGACCAAAGACAATCTGATAAGTCTTACTATCGAGGACAGTCGTTTTTGTCAATTTGCTACCAATTTAGACGTTGCTCGGTGGGAACCAAGAGCTTCCAACGCCGCTTCACTGTCCGAGAATATTATTATTGACTTGTGTAACAGGTTGGAGTCTTCCAAACTCTCCGCACACAATTCAATAGCATGAATTTTCACTTGAAATACAGTCACATAGGTTCCTAGGCAGGTTGATATCTCTGTCCTGGGTCTGTGAATGAAAACACCTGCACCAGAACCGGAAAGTGTTTTTGATACATCTGTGAACCAACAAATATCTGCTCTTAATAGTTCCTTCTCTCGGAGGATCCAGTCCTCTCTACTTGGTAATAGTACGTTATAAGGCAGTTCGTAGTTGACAGTTGGTGACATAAAGTCAGAGGTCATTTCCAGAATGACGTGACTTCCAATGTCAACCAAAAGTTTGTTGCACTCTGCATTAAATTGATTTGTGCAATTGGCAATGTGCACAAGTCTATATGGAGTCCATCTAGCCTCTCTCTCCAGAAAAATGTGGAGAGGAGGTAAATCTAGAAGGATCTTCATGGCCGCTGACGGTGTGGTACTGATGGCACCACTGATGGCCAGACAAGCCTGTTTCTGTAAACCAAAGAGCTTCGCCTTGGCCGTTTTCTGTGAATGAAAAATATAACGACAATACCTTTCGTGAAGAGATTTTTACGAAAATTACAACTACATAACCCGAGATATAAAAAAGTTGACTTTAAAAGTGAGTAGCTGGTGATTATACAAGCCAAAAGGTCTCTACTGTTTTTTGGGTTTATAACCTTCCACAATCAGAAAAATAAAAGCTAAATCAATAGATAATCTGCTGAAGTGTAATAAAGGGAAAATTGAAAAGTTCACCCCGAAGAGTTACTGCGTAATATAAACCGCTAAAAAACCCAATTAGTCAGTAGCTGGTATTCATAAATTATGCATACAAATTGAAAAAAAATATCCACATGAAAATGTCTTTCAAAGAATAATTCCAAAGCCTTTTAGATTAATGTCTTTTACCACTTCGTTTTACTTGACCACTGGGACTGACAGGTTGAATTAAAAAACAACACTATAACTTTTTCTTTGTTTCCCAGCACATTCAATATTCTATTTCATTATCTAAAGTGATAAAAAACTATTTCAATTGGTTACAAACATTTTGTTTTCTGTTCTACCCGAGTTATTCAGAACTTATTGATTAGGTTTCGTCCTAGATTCATAAGTCAGAAAGTATTGATTCAACAGTTTCGGGAGTGGCAAAAATATTCATTCCATTACGGAATGGAATGGATATCCAAATAGTCCATTCATAAAAATATCTCCTATATATTTTGATGTGTTGAAATTCTTTCACGGCAAGCCGTCTACCGTGGTTGATTCAAATTCAGTGTCAATTCAAAAAATCTAAAATGATGGTTGATCTTCAGTTGAACTGATGAAGTTGGATTATGGCATATATTTCAGCACATTTCTGAAAAATGTGAAAATTCTGTAATTTAAAATTGTTGAAATGAATTTGTTACCGAAGTAAACTCAAAATTCGTCCCTATAGGGTTGATTTTAAAAATTGATCAAAGTTATAATAGAACTTCTGCACAATTCAACTTTCAGATCAAACAATAATCGAAAGTCACTGTAAATACGTATTTGAATCCTCTAAAGGAGTATTTCTAATTTTGCACTATGTCATGAAAATTTAAAACCTTCACTAGATGACTCAACACCAATTAAAAGATTCAAATGAAATATAAGTTAATGATTATATTATTTTCTTTTCAACTTAATATCCCAGCTGGAAACTCTTGTAGATATTTGCAACTACGAAAATATCTGAAGTTTATTTGAACAAATTGATGTCATGAACTGAATTTTTACTTAGGTACTTTATCAAATGATGTTGATTAAATACAGAGAGATATTGAGTTAAATATATACCCTCTATCTGTATGTGAAAAATAGCACTGATGATGCCGGTTCACTGACAGTCATGAAATTAACTTCTATTTGTTATCCTACGGACTTGTGGTTTTGTCATGCTGTCGAGCTAAATAACAAAGTTTACTCAAAAAGATAAAAATGTATCGATCAAATTCTGACGTCTCGTGGTCTTACTCAACTGTTGAAGAGAGTATGGAGTAGTGCATCATCAGACTCCTCTTAAAGTTACTTCTGAATAATATCTAATAATAGGGAGTCCAAGCGGGGATTTCGGGATTTACTAAAGCGCGGCAGATTAATATACAGGGGGATACCTTGTACCCGGTTAAGTACCTCCACCAAATATGAGCCGCNAACCATATATATCTTAATCTGACGCGCTTGAGTATTTCAAAATGGCGAATTTTTTTGGCACATTATAATAATGGCCGCGAGTTTGCGTCAGATCGAAATCGTTAGATTATTGAATGAGAGCTGTTTTGGGTGCACTTAATATTCCCTTTGAAAATCTGATGGGCTCGATTATTTTTTTTTTCTTTTCACTTTAAACTCTTACGTACAACCACCCGCATCATGCAAACGATCAGATTAACATACGAACGTTATTCAAAATACGTAGGACATTGATGCTATCAATATCTGACGTGCTCGAGTATGTCCATGCAACAGTATTTTTTTACATATTCAAAAATCTATAGCCGCTTCTCCCCGGGAGAAAAGGTATATATTATATAACATTTTTTTCTTCTTATCATCTAAGCTTTGCAACCTAATATGTCTCAATGACGCTCGAATAAATCCCTATAAATCCCTCTGCTATAAAGTCTTCATCCGACACAGTACATTTTTTATTACTTGAGACAACGAAAACAAGTAACTACTCGGTATGCACTAAATCAGAAAATCATCAAGTAAAATCGTTTGAAATTGAAAAACCTTCGCGCCTGAAGTAACACAATCCGTACAATAGTTCCTTGATCACTGAAATGAATCATTGGATTGCAGTTCTCGGAAGTATGACTCATAGCTTAGATATTTCAGTACTTCAATGTCGTAAGATTAGTAATTTTGTCTCAACAAATTGTTTCATGTTCCGGGCAACAACGAAATTTTATGCTGTCCCCTTCAAAGTACTTCCAGATATAATACACTTGTGCCAGGCTTTTTTTCCAATCCTCGAAGCAGTTCCGCTTCGTAGCAGGGCGCCAAATCTGGTGAATATGATGGCTAAGGCATGATCACGGTCAAAAAATTCCGAACAAGCAATGACGAGTGAGCAGTTGCATTATCTTGATGAAAATGCCATGAATTGTTTTCCCGTATTTTTTCTCGCAAACGCCGCATAACTTCAAGATAATACTCCTTATTGGCTGTACGATCATGTGGCAAGAATTCCTGGTGTACTACGTCATGGTAATCGAAAAAGAACATCGAGCAAAACTTTTGGTTTTGCCTCTCCTGGGCTTTTCCATTGGGACAAATGGACTTTGGTTTCGATATTATAACCATATACCCATGATTCGTCACCTCAAAA